GCATGTGCCAGTGTGCACACCCTACGTGCAGCCTCTGTACCCAGGCATGTGCCGGTCTGTGTGCCACATGCATGTGCCAGTGTGCACACCCTACGTGCAGCCTCTGTACCAGGCATGTACCTGTGCGTGTCCGCTCTGCACCGCCTGTGTGCCACAGGCATGTTCCAGTGTGCACACCCTACGTGCAGCCTCTGTACCCAGGCATGTGCCTGTCTGTGTGCCACATGCATGTGCCAGTGTGCACACCCTACGTGCAACCTCTGTACCCAGGCATGTGCCTGTCTGTGTGCCACATGCATGTGCCAGTGTGCAAACCCTACGTGCAGCCTCTGTACCCATGCCTGTGCCTGTCTGTGTCTTGCCTCCACAGTCTGTGTGCAGTCTGTGTGCTACATGCATGTGCCTGTGAGTACATTCTGTGTGCGGCCTGTGTGCCACATGCATGTGCCTGCGTGTGCACTCTGTGTGCAGCCTGTGTGCTACATGCATGTACCTGCATGTGTGTGCTAGGTGCAGTAACGTGCTTGTTTCTTGTGTACCATGTGTGTGCTACATGCATGTGAGCTTCATGTATTATCATGGTGCCTTATGGATGTTCCTGTGTGTGTACACTCTATGTACAGTGCTGTGTGTGTGAGCCCCGTGTGTTTGCCACATATCTATGTAGCCTGTGTACCTTCTGTGTTCCATATGCCTGTGTGTTTCATGTATTATTGCTGTGCCATATGCATATGAGTCCTGTGTATGCCGTAAGCCAGTGAATCTGATGTAATCTGTGTGCCATGTGCTTATGTCACATATCGTCTGCATACTATATGTGCATGTTTCTTGTATTGTTTCTGTGTATCCATGTGCATTCACAATGTGAGCCTGTGTGCTGGGTGTGTATGTGATTCCCATGTACTAGGGCTGTGTGTATTCCGTATGCATGTGCTGTGTGTTCTAGGTGCATGTTCATTCTTTGGATGCAGAGGTATTCTTTGCATATGCAAGTGTATTCTCTGTGGATCCATATTGTGTTCTTCAGGCATGTGCATTGCACATAACAGGGTCCTTGATTAAGAATCCTTTGATCTGATTTTCCCCTGGTGTGTTCTGTGTGTATGCACATGTCTTACATGTTGTCTGTGTGCATGATTGTGCATGTATGTGTTGAGTGCATGTTCCCACAGATGGTACCAGTCACGCTGTCTTTTTGCTCCTGGCTGCATTTTCAAGCAGCCACTTTCTGCCTTTTTCCTGCTTATGTGTTTGGTGGTGGTGATAGGGGGGTTCAGGTTTTCCTTGAACACACACAGCGGTAGGAAGGAGATACAGTGATAGAATTCTGTTCTCTCCAAAAGAGTGGAACATTACACACGGAACGAATTTTTCCCGGATTTTTATCCCAGAGTGAGCCAATTGAAGCCGCTGGAGTTGCAAAGGGGTGTGGAAATGGCCAAAATTTGGGCTGTTATTCTTAAGTAAAGCTAAGATTTTGTCATAGACATTTTTAGTAAAAGTCACGGACAGTTCATGGGCAATAAACAAAAATTAATGGAAGCCCGTATCCTGTCCCTGACTTTTACTAAAAATAACTGACAAAATGGGGAGGGAGGAGGGTCCAGCACTCACCGCTGCTGGGGTTCCAGGGGCTACCCACAGTGGCTGAGAGCACAAGGATTTCTTTCTCCCTCTCCTTGCTCCCGCGCTGCCTGTGGCAGCTCAGAGCTGCGGGCCCTCAGCTGGGAGCTCTGGAATCCGCCTATGGCGACCGGGCAGCTGCCTTGGAAAATGTCACAGAGTCTCTGGACGTCATGGATTCCATGACTTCTGTAACCTCCGTGACAAAATCTTGACCTTATTCTTAAGTTATAGCCACCTCAAAAGAATAATTATGGAGAACCCTGGTATCTCATCGTTGGTCGATAAAAGCGAGTAGGGCAGGCAGAGTCGCTAGGCCAGGGTGTAAGTAGATTTAGAATTAGCTGCTATCCATTGCACGGAAGCGCCATAACCTACCAGGCGATTTACCTAGGAACTGTGTTTTTCTAAAACAGTGTTTGAAATTTCGGTGGTCTCTGCTCCAGCAGCTGCAAATTTTCCAAACCCTTACCACTGAGAGATAGTGAGCGAGCGAGAGAGAACTGGGCGTGGAGAACTTGCCCAAGGGACTAACTTTGCGTGTGTACACTTTGTTTTTCAGGGCTTCCAGAGGAGTGCTTTCTGGGCTTTAATTTAGCCTGGCCATGTCGCCTCCAGCTAACACACACCTAGCCTACACCCCTCCTGATGGGGGCTGGGGCTGGGCAGTAGTATTTGGAGCGTTCATTTCCATTGGATTTTCATACGCTTTTCCTAAAGCCATAGCAATCTTCTTCAAAGAAATCCAGGATTTCTTTGGCACATCCTACAGTGAGATTGCATGGGTGTCTTCAATTATGTTGGCCACTACCTATGGAGGAGGTGAGTACATCAGAAATACCCAGTTGTTTTTGTTTTCTTCTAATGAGGGAGTGCAGGTACCTACAGATTAAAGAAACTGTAGATTCTGATTGCACTCTATTCACGTGTGTGTTGGCGTATCATGCATCTTTTAGAAAGCTGTACTTGGATAATGAAATCAAAAATCTTGTGTTGCACAGATCACGTTTAAGACGTTGCTTCGAGTAAAAATTTCAAAATGTGACTTGGGAGCCTAAACGCCAGTATCAAAAGTGATTTAGGGACAGATTTTCAAAGGTATTTAGGTGCCTAAAGATGCAGATAAGTGCTTAATGGGGTTTATACGCACTTATATTAGGCACCTAACTCTGATTTCAATGGAAGTCAGGCACCTAATCAAATTGGGCAGCTTTGAAAATCTTGCTAGGGGCCTTTCTGCATCTTTAGGTGCCTACGTAACCTTTGAAATTCTGGCCATTGGGTACTTCGGAGCCTGAATCCCATTCACTTTCAAATGGGCTCGGAAGCATAGGCGCCAACTTTCTCCGGTGCCGGTGGGTGCCTGCGCGCCCCCACCCCTTTCCCCGCCCCTGGGCCCGCCCCAACTCCACCCTTTCCCCGCCCTTGGCCCTGCCCCCATTCCAACCCCATCCCCAAAGTCCCCACCCTAACTCCGCCCCTTCCCTGCCCCTATTGGATCCCTTCCCCAAATCCCTGCCCCAGCCCCACCTCTTCCCCCAGCGCGCCGCATTTCCCCCTCCCTCCCTGCCCCGCGAATCAGCTGTTTCGCGGGACACGCGCTGGGAGGGAGGGGAGAGAAGCAGGACGCGGCGGTGCGCTCGCGGAGGAGGAAGTGGAGGTAAGCTGGAGCGGGGGGGCGGGGCGCTGCCGGTGGGTGCCAAGCACCCACCAATTTTTTTCCGTGGGTGCTCCAGCCCCGGAGCACCCACGGAGTCAGCGCCTATGCTCAGAAGTGATTCAGTCCCTCTTGAAAATAGGCCTTCGCCTCTGAAGTCAGGTAGGTGCTTTTGAAAATTTTACCCTTTTATAAAGCGTTGTGGTATTTATTTTATGTCTTGTTCTAAGACTTTTAAATGTTGCAGTATGTTTAAGAGCTTAGCTATGGTGATTATAGATCTGCTTGACTTTTAGTGATTGTCTTTGTAGAATTTGCAGTTGAACAACCGTAACTCTGACCCAGCCAAGTGTTTGCTTGGGGGAAATTCCCTGTTTTGTTAAATAAGTAGATATCAGTATGGATAGGTAAGTCATATGGCCACTTATCAATGTTAATGTCCATTATCTTCTCATTGTCCCCCATGGCCTCCATTCAGAGCTCTCATCCTCAACATCCTATTGCCTGTGTGAACAGGTGCAGTATTTGGGGGCTCAGGGTGGCCGAGGCAGGAGAGAGCATGGGTGTAGCATGGTTGTGTGTGTGGGGGGGAGAAAACATAGGTGGAGTGGGATAGTGAGAGAGGAGTGCGGCTGTGGGGGGATTTGGGCTGCATGGGCAGGGATGGGGAAAAATGGGGCTGTAATGCTAGAAGTGCAGAAGGGCTGAAAGAAATGGGCAAAAACCAAGTATGTCAATGCTGGAAAATATCAAACTGAGTTGAGGGACATGGGATGTGGGACTCAAACCTGGCCCTAAAAAATATTAGCCCCGGGCACCAAGTTCCTGTCTTACCCAGCAGCCTCGGGTGTCTGCAGGTGACTGATCTGAGTGATCGTACTGCTGTTAGCGGGCGAAGGATGTGTTGGGTTTAGCAGCCTTGCTCAATGCACCCTTGAAACTGCGCTGTTCTGTTCTATGGCAGTGCAGTCTGGCACGTTTTCTGCTCAGTCTGATGGAACGTGCAGGGTTTTCCTGGCACGGGTGATGTTTTGGGTGTCATCCTTTATCATTACACGGTTGTTCACCTTTGCCCCGATTTGCGGTGTACATGATACCGAGATCATTTTCTGCTTGCTACATGCTATGGGAACAACCTGTTTGACCTCATGTTTTGTCTAGCTTCAGGTACCCAGAGCAAATTTTACATCACTTCTGGCCCTTTATTGGCAGGAACTTGGACTTGACCCTCTCTGCCGATGATAAAGCACCTGCTGAGTTCCCTCAATAGGAGCCAATGAAACCCTGTCCCACTTTATTTCCCAAGCGTGAAGGAGACACAGGATGCCTGCTTTGACAGCGTGCTGGAAATGTTTTTCCTTGTTTTGGCCTCGGCAGGTAACTTCTCCCAATCAAGATGGCAGCTGTGAAGCAATTTGGCCTGTACAGCAAGGGCATTAATGTCTTTGGGAGTAGCATTGCCAAATGTCTAAGGCCTTGATCTAATGCCCATGGGAAGTCAACAGGCGTAGCTAGCTGAGTACCAGATAACTGGCTATGGTGTTCAGGCAAAGCCGAACATTGGGCAGAGCAATAAATGACGCAGTCCTCTGAATTGTAGCTTATCGTTTGTTGTGACAGGTTGTAAGTTCTGTAATGCAATAGCTAGTCACCCTCATCAGCTCACAAAACAGAGCATATTGGGTAGCTCTTACTTTTTGCTACTTCCATTGTAACAGGCTGTGAACAACCTGGGCAGGCTTTGATTAAACTAATGTAACGGCATGTCAATCCTGAATCGGAGTTACAGGCGGTTACTCCCATTTTTTTGCATGCTTTTAAAATAAAATGAATACAGTTTTCCTCCCTCGTGGAGTAATGCACTCTGGAAAGGCTAAAGGCATACACATGCGGAATGCTCTAGGGCTTGTATTTGTTGACCTAGTGCTTGATTCAAAAACCCATTGAAATCAATGAGAGTCTTTCAATGGACTCCAGTGGGTCAGTCCCATAGAGCCCAGCCTTGCAAGGACCTGAGCTCATCCTTCCATGGGCGTATAGGGCTCTCCTCACCTCAGAGGAGTGCTCAGCAACATGCAGGCCCATTAGCGCCAACCCACAGGAAGGATGTATAATTTTTGAAAGGTCAGTTCTCGGGGTGATGTTCATGCAGTAGTTTGGCAATGCAAGCTCTGTCCCACCAACCCCAGGCATAGCTACCCTACCCCACCCCCTTCTCCCTCATCACAGTAGTCTCCCCATACATGAAATGCATGGCTTGGCAGGGACTGGGGAGTGCTGTGAGAGGTTCCTTTGCTCCCCTTGAAGCTTATTATTTGCTGTGCATTTAATCCTTTTGCATTGATATTGATAAATAATCATAGAAATGTAGGACTGGAAGAGACGTCGCTAGGTTATCTGGTCCAGTCCCCTGCACTGAGGCAGGACAAAGTATTATCCAGACCATTCCTGACAGGTGTTTGTCTAACCTATTTTTAAAAAACCTTTCGGTGATGGAGATTCCACACCTTCCCTAGGTAATTTGTTCTAATGCTTGACTACCCTGACAGTTTGGAAGTTTTTTCTAATGTGTAACCTAAATCGTCCTTGCTGCAATTTAAGCCTATTGCTTCTTGTCCCATTGTCAGTGGATAAGGAGCATAATTTCTCACCCTTCTCTTTATAACAACCTTTTACATACTTGAAGACTGTTATCAAGTCCCCCCATAGTCATCTCTTCTCCAGATTAAACAAACCCAATTTTTTCATTCATTCTTTCCTCATGGATCATGTTTTCTAGACCTTTAATCATTTTTATGGTTCTCCTCTGGACTTTGTCCAGTTTGTCCACATCTTTCCCAAGGTTTGGTGCCCAGAACTGAACACACTACTCCAGATATCAGCACAGAGTAGAGCGGAAGAATTACTTCTCGTGTCGTGCTTACAACACTCCTACTAACACATCCCAGAATGATGTTTGCTTATTTTTGCAATGGTATTAAATTGTTGACTCATATTTAGTTTGTAACCCTTTATAACCCCCAGATCCTTTTCTGCAGTACTTCTTCCTAGGCAGTCATTTCCAATTTTGTATTTGTGCAATTGATTATTCTTTCTTAAATGTAGTACTTTGCATTTGTTCTTATTGAATTTCATCCTATGTATTTTAGACCATTTCTCCACTTTGTCAAGATCATTATGAATTCTAATCCTGTCTCCAAAGCACTTGCAACCCCTCCCAGCTTGGTATCGTCTGCAAACTTTATAAGTGTACTCTTTATGCCATTATCCAAATCATTTATGAAGATGTTGAATAGAACTGCACCCTGGACAAATCTCTGTGGGACCCCACTTGATATGACCTTCCAGCTTGACTGTGAACCATTGACACTGACCATCAGACAGTGTAATCATAATCAGGCATCCTAGAGGCTAAAAACAAGCTCTCTAACTCAGTGGTTCTTAACCTATTTACCATTGTGGGATGCATATGTGGCCCACAATGTGTTATGTGGGGTGAGGGCCAAGGAGTGAGACCGTGAGGGTGAATGTGGAGCTGTATGGCAGCATAGTAACTGAAAAATATTTCACGACCATTTTATTAGATTTAACTCATGTTTTAAAATCACACAAATTAAAGTTGGCTACTCAAGCCTTCTATGAAGCACTACATCTACATTCTTCTTGGTTTCTTGTACTTTTGCACAACTCTGTTAACGAGCTACTCGAATGCAGTGCGTTCATCTTTGGTGGCTTCTCATGTGTCCGGTACTTCCAGTCCTTCAGTTGATATGCTCATTAGTTCATTCACATGATCAGGCAGAAGGCGACTTCTTTCAGAACACACAATTCTATTCAATGACGAAAAAGAACACGAAACTGTAGCTGTTGTGACTGAGAGTAGCCAGATATGAGTTCCTTTTCTTTCATCCCGGGAAACAGAGCACAAAGATCAGGTCAAGCCACTAGAGATGGTAAAAAAGAAGTTGAAGTCAAATCCTCATTCATCATATGACATTCCACTCTGTGATTAGATTCTCTATGTTATACTGATCACTTGGCAGCCCCATTGCTGATTGTGCCTTACTCCACTCAACTCACAGGTGCTGGAATTAGAGGTGGAACTAGAGGTGCTATCTTGAAGTGGATTCCATTATATACAGGGTTCAGTTTGGTTCAATGGCTC